AAAACCCCGGCGCTTCTCCTTAAGCTGGACATAGCTAGGGCCTTCGATAGTATCTCATGGGAGTACATGTTAGAGCTGCTACAGAAGTTGGGCTTCTCGGCCCGTTGGAGGGATTGGATCGCCCTGCTGCTATCTTCTTCAACCTTTGCCCGCATTCTCAACGGCGATCCAGGCGACATAGTTGTCCATCTTCGTGGGCTCAGACAGGGAGATCCCCTTTCGCCGCTTCTTTTCATCCTTTGCATGGATCCTCTCCATCGCCTCCTGGACGCGGCCACTAGGATGGGCATGCTGAGCCCCATCCAGGGTTCGACGGCGAGGATGCGGACGATCTTATACACGGACGACGCCGTCATCTTCATTAACCCTGCACGTCAAGAAGTAGATAGTCTAGTTGAGCTGCTGCAGTTTTTCGGCAATGCAACAGGCCTCCGGGTCAACCTCGCCAAATCTCTAGCGGCTCCCATTAGGTGCGAAGACGTATACATTCCTGATGTTCTTCGGAACTTTGGCGGCATCACGACGGCGTTCCCGATTAGGTATCTAGGCCTCCCATTTTCTACGGGGCATATTAGACTAGCGCATATTCAGGTCATTCTGGACAGGATACGTGCTCGCCTCGCCGGCTGGAAAGGCAGACTTATGCCGCTGGCCGGACGGCGAGTCTTAGTACGCTGTGTGCTTTCAGCCATGGCCACTTTTGCTCTCACAGCCCTGCGAGTGCCAAAGAAATTCTATAAAGATGTAGACAAATCACGGCGGCGTTTCCTTTGTGCGGGAGATGAGGAGCTGTCCGGTGGAAAGTGCAAGGTGGGCTGGAGCACAGTGACCACGCCGGAGGAGTATGGTGGCCTCGGCGTCCACGATCTTCCTAGATTCGCCAGGGCGCTACGCCTGCGATGGCTATGGCAATCCTGGCAACACCCAGAAAGACCTTGGGTAGGAACGGGCTCGCCCTGTGATGCCTCGGACAGGGCCCTGTTTGCTGCCTCCACAGCGGTGATCATCGGAGATGGGGCGACGGCTTCGTTCTGGTTCTGCTCATGGCTAGGTGGACGCCAACTCTATCAAGCCTTCCCCACCCTCTTTGCAAGATCAGCCAGGAAGAATCGCTCGGTCAAGGACGCACTGCACGACGACAGGTGGATCATGGACTTGAGGCGCAATGACACGGATGCCATAGCACCGCAGGTGGTGCAGCTTGCGAGGGAGATCAGGCAGGCCGCCACCACTCCCACCCCAGGAACCCAAGATTCCATTACCTGGAAGCTCAATGCATCAGGCTGCTACACAACAAGCTCTGCGTACAGGGCTCAATTCAGCAATAGACAGGTCACCTCCTTCAAATCCATCATGTGGAAAATCTGGGCGCCAGGCAAGGTCAAGATGTTCCTCTGGTTGCTGCACCTAGATAGATTGTGGTGCAATGATCGTCTGCAAAGGAGAGGCTGGGAAAATGGTTATTTCTGCCCGATGTGCATGCGCAGCCTAGTGACCTCTGTCCATCTATGCTGGGAGTGCCCGGTTGCATTGCAAGTCTGGCAAGCGGGGGCAACTTGGATTGGATGTGCCTCTCTGAATCAGACCCTCTGGTGCAACGAAACAACTACAACGGGCCGTGCTCAAAGAATAATAGCGGCTGCAGCACCAGGTCACAGGAAGGATGTAAGAACCATGGTGGCACTGATCTGCTGGCACATATGGTTAGAACGCAACGCCTGCACCTTCAGAGAAAAGCAGCCAAACGCAACACATGTCACTAATGCCTGCAAGCGCGACATGGAGCAATGGCGAATGGCCGGGGCTAAGTGCATTGAGCTACCCTTCGGGGAAGTGACGTGAAAATATTGCCATAGGACCTAGGCCCAGCTAGAGGGGCAGTTGTAATTTCCCCTTCTTGATCACTTGATCGCCCTTTGTCACTCTCCCTTCTGCTAAAATCAATGAAATGCCAGCAATGCTGGCCGCTTCAAAAAAAGAGAGTAAACTGTAGGTATGTCAAAACAGACATATACTCTACGCAACACGATAGCACATCGCCGTACGCCGGTGCTCTTCCAGTCTTCTTCCTTCATTCCTTGTATACTTGTCGGCTCGGCTCAATCATGCTATGGATGCATGTATCCATCCGTTCTCAGGTACGCTATGTCGCTAAGAGCATCCGACTGGATGGACATTCCAAAGCGGACTCAAATGCCCATACTGACACCCTTATATCCAGCTTAAATACAGGATAGTCCGGATGTAATCGTGTCCGCAATGTTGGACCCGACCCACGTTGGCCCATACGACCACATATATTCGTTCCTATCTATTTCAAACCCTAGCCATTGCACTCTACTTCACTCTGCCCTAAGCCCCCGTCCAATGATACTGGTCTTCTCTGACATGGCGGGCAACGGATCCGACTCTAAATACTCCAGATGCGTCGACTGGGGGTGTGGTACGATGCAGGTTGGAGGAGGCAATGGCCGTCCGCATTGCCCTCCGCCGCCCCCAGGAAGATTGCGTCGCCACAACGGATGCTCGGATCCTACTGAATCATCGTGGTCCCTTAGCTTCCTCATCTTGGGGGAGGGGGAGTATGAGAGCTACGGGGCGGTGTGCTCATCGTGGGAATGAGAGGATGAGGGTGGTCGAGGCCCGCCTCGCCGCCGACGTGGTGGTGGGGGAGACGGCGGATGCGGCCGCGCGCACTGCCGCGGAGAAGGAAGCCATCCACGTTCGCACCATCAAAAAGCGTTAGCGGATGAACATGCACGCCCTCGCTCGAGATTAGAATAAGGCGGTCCATGCCATGACCAGATTGTTCCCCCAAAGAAGAAGCAGATGACAACGAAGGGTCGGACAGCTCCAGCGATGAGCAGACCCGACTTGATCCATATTATGTTTTTGACTGCTATTTCCGCGAGAATGACGGTAAGGGCGTCGAGAAGGGCAAGGAGAGTCGTGAATGATCTTCTCCATGCATAGTATATAGGTAGAACATAACAACTTTTTGCAGTTCGATGGCATGTCCTGATGTAGTAGGCGGACGACGTGTGTTGCATCGTTTACATAAACATTGCATGTCTCCGTATGTATTTGAGGTGTACGTACTAATTGAAGTGTCCCGTTATGTAAAGAAAAATTTAAGGTATGTCCGGTCAGTGTGCGCGGACAGTTCGATGCGTTTATACGGTCCAAATTAGCGAGTCACGGCTCTGTGCAGTTTAGAAGATCCACAGTACCTCTACCGCCTTCCTGCACTGCAACCACGGGGACAAAGAATTTCTTTTCTTTTGTAATACGTGTACTTACCTTTACCGTCGAATGTCGATCCGACGGTTCAGACCCTGGAGTAAGCTGCAAGGCTGGGCCCAACCCCTCTGCCCCGTCGCCGTCCATTCGCACGCCACGCACGTCGTCACCGCCCGCCTCCCTGGCTAAGCCACCGTCCCGTCCCCGCGGTATTTCTTTCCTCTCCGCCAAGACACCAGGCGCCCCTCCGCCAGACTCCGTCGGCATTTATACATCCGGCGACACACGCATCGTGCACACACAGAGCCGCGGCCAGCCCATCGACCACCCGATACCAGATCAGGAAGCAACCTTGAAAGCTGAAACCCCAGTCGAATCGGAATCCTAGCGCCATGTCTGCCACGGCGGGGGACGAGGCGGCGGTGGCCGAGCGCCTGGAGGCGCTGCGGAGGAAGCTGGGCAAGAAGCAGCACTTCGAGGAGGCCGTCGCCGACCTCGCCGCCACGCTCCGCGACCGCTACGCCGGCGCCTCGCCCGCCCTCCGCGAGTCGGTAAGGCCGACCTCACCTCACCCGACCTTCCCCATCCCTACGGAGCAGACCTGTCATGGGGCTGGTATGTGCGGGATGTTGTTAGATTGGTCGTAGAAGGGGGAGGTTGCTGCTCGGTGTGGATCTAGGAGAGGATTTGGGGATAGAAAATTCGATTGGTGCGGGACCGGATCCTGCATAGTATTGAAATTACATTTGTAAGATACAAGATACAACTGTCAAATTAGCAATAAGACTTCCGCCTGTTTTGGTTAAATCAACTAGCAATGAACGCTCTGCTTCGGGTGATAGATGATGGCTATTCCAGTTTCAGAGTTCTCGAGTATTTTCAATTACCCATTACCCAAGCAGCAGAAAGTGTTAGTAGTGTCTCTATTGCAGCTGTTGCTATCTAGGCAAAACTACGATTCTTAACCTTATTTGTTCTGCTGAAGCTAGCCTCTGCATCGATTCGCTACAGAAATCCTTGTCTAGCATCCGAGGTGGACCTTGGAAATAACTTTATATAGTAAGGTGCCAAGCCTAAATCATGTTAACCAGTGTCTGGATTAACCATTTTTTTAACTAATGTTTGCACAAAACAAAGGAACCAACGAATATGACATATCTTATAATTGTTGAAAACTGGCGCAATATATGGATAAACTATTTAAGGCAATTGTTTCCCATGTTCTATATGAACAAAAAACTTGTGATCACGGTTCTAACGAGTTAAATCACCAAATCAAAAGAACTATAATACCATCGAAATGAACAGGGTTATATGTACATGATGTGATGAAGAGAGTAATATAGCTGTGCCCTTTGACTTCCATGGCTGGATGCACTTTGTATTGTCAGCATAAACAAATACTCCCTCCGTTCCTAAATACTTGTCTTTCTAGAGATTTCAACAAGTGACTACATACGGCGTAAAATGAGTGAATCTACACTTTAAAATATGTCTACATACATCCGTATATTGAGTCCATTTGAAATGCCTAGAAAGACAAGTATTTGGGAACGGAGGGAGTATATGGCCATGAACAGTCACGATTGTGCACACCACATGTCACAAAGGCATCAGACTGGAAGTATAAGACTGGGAGTTCAAAACAGATGTTAGCGGGGATATTTGCCATAGAGAGCATTCGGCTATGGAGCCATTATCTCCTGAACTGATCTTCTTGGTACTCGGTACAAATACACCTAGCACTCTTTTAGTTGGAAATGTTCTCATGGACTATTTTTTTTGCCTACTATACAGCCCATGACTCTGCAAGCCATGTTATTATTTTACGGGTTGCTACGCGCTACAATCCAGTTTTCTTTTTCATGCCTGTCATCCTATTTTTCTGCCTTGTTTTGTCATCATTCATATATGTGAACTACTTTTTGCAGATGTACTCTACGGTTTGCCGTGTTGCAACCGTCCTTCAGACTAGATATACAGCACCTGGATTCTGGCGTGCTGGTCTGAACCTCTTCGTAGCGACAGAGAAGCTGTTAACTAATCCTGCTGAAAAGGAACGCCTCAAAACCTGCATTTTGAGGGCCCGGGAGCATCTTGATGAAAAAGAAAATGAGGAGTCAATGCCAACCAACAGAGAACCAGGTATGTAATCAAGATTTTAACTTGTGAATTTAGTAACACATAAATACTTAGCATGAATACATCTTATGAAATTCCACATGGCGACATTCTCACGGCACATCCCTTGCTGGTAATTCCTGTATTGATTGGTCTGGTTGTGTTCTGGCAGCCATGTCAATAAGAATTCGGCTTGTAATGTCCATAGTTTAATAGATGGTATTATGTGCTATATCATGGCAACCATGTATAAATACAAGAGACTTTTGGCCGTATAAGCCTTGTTGTGTGCTTACTTTGGTTACTCAAGTGTCTGTCCTCAGAAGTCTTTACCCTTTGAAATATCTACTTGCTAATAAGATGTTGCCTTTCCCAGACACTAGATTCCTTTTTGAAGGCCACCTTACCGTGGGACAAGAACCTCCTCCTCCAGCATGGCTTGTCGCCCAGAATTTAACACGAGAATTGAACATCTTAGCGGAACCTTCTGGAGATCAAAATGGGAACAACACTAGAACGGAGTTGAGGCCTGAGGAGATGACACCTGCTATAATGAACTTCTTAAACACCTTATCAGGGGACGCGGAGCTTGAGAGTGCCTTGGAAGCATCACTGCAGGTAGGTTCACGAGGATTAATTTTTTTGGTGCCCATTTTCACATCTTAACCTTTCTATATTTAGTTTGTTGATGCACACAATGTTTTTGGTATCTTCACTAACCATAGAAGGTATGCAAATATAGATTTTGGCGTTCTAAGTGCTATAGTAAGAACAAATTCGATAAATTTGTTAGTATCTTATCCAATGTGTATTTTACAATAGTTTGTGAGTTACCTTGAGCCTAGCCTGCACCACACGTAAGTGGTGCTGAATTGCTAAAATCAGCGCTCAGCAATGCTTTGATGGATTTGGAACTCTGCTATCTTTGATGACCTAAAAAAAAGGGCAACCTGGTGCATGTAGCTCCCGCTTGCGCAGGGTCCAGGGAAGGGTCCGACCACTTTGGGTCTATAGTACGCAGCCTTTCCCTACATTTCTGTAAGAGGCTGTTTCCAGGACTTGAACCCATGACCTCATGGTCACAAGGCAGCAGCTTTACCACTGCGCCAAGGCTCCCCTTCCTATCTTTGATGACCTACATCCTCAAATTTACAGAGCCTTGTTGTTTGCTAAAAAGGGATGCGCCAGTACAATTAGTTTGCAACTTCCTGGTGCTGCTATCACAAATCTGTCATGATAGAGAGTCTATTGTGCGGTTCTTAAGTATTTGATATTTGAATATTTGTATGAATCTTGAGTATGGGTCTACTATTGCCAGGGTATCACAGCGCAGCCCAAGGTACCACCGGCTTCAAAGGAGGTCGTTGCTAATCTCCCGGTTGTAACTGTTACTGAAGAAGTCATTGCTAGGCTGGGCAGCGAGACTGAGTGTGCTGTTTGCCGAGAAAACTTGGTTGTGGATGACAAGATGCAGGAGCTGCCGTGCAAGCACCTTTTCCATCCCCCTTGCCTCAAGCCATGGCTGGTAATTTTGCTCGTGCACCCTCATAACCATTGCTCTTGAATCGAATTGATCATTACAATCCAGCGCAGCTAACCGATCTTGATGGCTATCCCGCAGGATGAGAACAACTCATGCCCGATCTGCCGGCGCGAGCTGAGGACGGACGACCATGCGTACGAGAGCCGGAAGGAGCGGGAGCGAGAGGAGGAGGAAGACAGGAAGGGAGCGGCCAATGCTGTCAGGGGTGGGGAATTCATGTACATCTGATATCTGAAGGGGAATTACTGTTTCTGCTAGCGAGCAAATCGTAATGTGACCAATCTTCTTATCTGCTCGGTCGTGATGCCTGAAATTAAGCATGTCTTGTCTTGTTCCCAAATTCACCGCGTCCCTAGTTTGTCACCACTCACCAGCTTATCAAGCACAACAGGAAGTCATTAGAATTTAGAAAGCTTGCCATAGTTCACATCACATGTGAAATGGATACTCTTGGGGAGCGGCAATGCATAACTGTGGCAAACTGCGTCATGTAATTCACCTTTCCTTTATGCGGGGAATGCGATATTTAGTAAAATTGCTTGTACGGAATTACACCGACAAGAATCATAGTGCTCCAGTGGTATTTTAGACGGAATGATAACGAAGGATCAACGCCATGTAGGGTAGGAAGGACACGGACATCGCTCCCGTGCGGCTCCTGCGGCCGCACCGGGGCGCCCAGATCCAATCACCGGCGGACCTCCCCACCTCCCCTCGCTGCTGCCGGAGGGCGTCCCCGGGCAAAGCCTGGTCTTCCCGAGGCGGATGTGGGTTGGCGTCGGCGGCTGCTGCCAGCGGTGGGTATGGGCAAGGCATGGGCGTGCGGTGTGAAGGCTCTGGGCGGGGCGCGGCGTGGAGGCCCAGGGGTGGTGCGCCGCGGGCGAGGTGCGAGGCGGCCCGGGGCGGCTCGGATCTGGCCGTTGGGCGACGCGACGAGGCGTCCGCCATGTGGAGCTGCACGACAGCAGAGGGGTGGCAGGGCGCGGACGCGAGGGCCGCGTTTTTCACGTCTGGCGCTTGGAGGTGCATCGCTGGGCGCACGTTGGCGCAGGTGCGGGCTGCGGCGCGGCTGGATCTTCGGGCGGCGCTCCACTATAGCCTACATCCGCATGGTGCTGGCAGGCCGCGGTGGCTCAGTCTGCGATGGGAGGCCTTGGATCCGGCCACCTGTGGTCGGATCTGGCTTGGCGGCTGGATTTGATGGCTGGACGCTTGCTGCGGCGGCTCCTAGCAGTTCTTCATCGACAAGCTGATCTGTGGGTGGTGATGCATTGCTGGAGGTTCAGCTGGTTTGGTCAGGCCATTGTGCTACTACACCGAGCGAAAGCTTTGACTCTGGTTTTGGCCGGAGCCGGCAGACGGCGGCGCTCGTGGGCGTCGTGACCTTCTTGAAGGTGTTGCCGTGGTGAAGTGGTCATCTCCCTACCGACCCTTTCTCCGAGGGAAACCTCAGATCCGTGCATTCATGGATCGGACGATGGCAGCGTCATGCGTCGTGCCCCTCTTGAGGGCTTCGTCTTTGGAGGTGGGGATCAGTTGGAGGGACTAGTGGCGGGTGTGCCAGAGTGGTGAATTTGTGGCGAGGCTTCTGTGGCAACGATGGCGGTGGTGAGCGAGGTCGGAGGCTCGACAATGGTTGTATTAGTCGGCTCTTCTTCGGCGTGTTCGTGGGATTGCCTTAGCCCGTTTGTTGCTGTGAAGTCGGAGCTGAGGAGGCGGGGCCCCTGTGGCAACGATGACGAGTAGCAGGTGGTCTGTTCGGCGGTCTTTCATGGCGTCAACCTTGCATATTTCTTCTTCGTAGCTCTCTGTCAGAGTTGGAGTTGCGCTGTCCTCGACGTGGGTGGCTGAGTTTTGGTGCGGAGCTTCATTTGTCTCCACATGACCTCTATGGTGTGGGTTGTGTTGATGCTCGTCTACGGTGAAGTCGAAGTCGTTTGCTCGGGGATTAGGGATGGCGATGACGCCGCTGGAGGAGAAGTGATGACGATGACACGTGTGTGCTAGCTCGACGAGGCCCTCTTCAGAGAGGGGTGTATGGGGTATTCTATGTGTGCTGCTCAGCGGATTGTGATGGTTTTCGCCCGGTTTTCCGTTAATTAACTGGGCAATTCTCTTCTGCTTAATTAATGGATGAGGCAAATTTTTTGCCTCCGTTTCAAAAAAAATAAATAACGAAGGATCACATCTGGAAAAGCATCCATTGGCATTACTCGTGCCAGATCATCGAGCCTTTCGCCCAGTTGTCATCTCATGCTGTACGTTATGTTTCTACACACCTGTCTGCACATGTGCTAATTTTCTTGTGGTTCAGTGGATTCGCGAAAGGGGAATTTTGCGCAGCCACATGCATATGCACCAAGTGTGGGCTGCACAAAGCGCAGAATTTTGGAACTGAGCATCCCCCAAGGCTGGACCACCAAGATTAGTTTATCCTAGAGCTTAGTGCTACGTTCGACTCCCCACCTTTTATCTTTGAGATGAACACCACACGTCGGCTAATAACGATCTTGATTGAGACACAAACATCAAATCTAAGGACGCCTTCGACGCCGGCCCTTGAAACAGCCTCATCACGTAGGACTCCGACATCCCTTGCCCACTCAAATCCTTCCTCCCGGTCTCAATCTCTTTCACTCTATGCATGCTCCCCCTTGCTTTGCAACCACAGTCTTCACGTCCAACGCTTCCGTTGTACCTCTCCGGTCGTCGTCTAGGCATTGTCGGGCGTCTGCAGCCCCCACCCACGCGCCCGCTCTCCTTATACTACAGTGTCGTCCACCCAGGATCCGTGTGCAGTCAAGTACCCTTGCCCACTCAAATCCGTCCTCCCGGTCTGAATCTCTTTCACTTTGTGCCTGCTCCCCATTATCCCCGACCCTCTCAAATCCTTCCTCCCGGTCTCAACCTCTTTCACTCTGTGCCTGCTCCCCCTTACTTTGCAACCACACTCTCCACGTCCAATGCTTCCGTTGTACCTCTTCGGTCGCCGCCTAGGCATTGTCGGGCGTTCACAGCCCCCACCCACGCGCCCGCTCTCCTTATACTACGGTGTCGTCCACCCTGGATCCGTATGCAGTCAAGTACCCTTGCCCCCCCCCGTCGACCCCGTCTATGATGGACACCACGCCCGACAGGTGTTCGATCAAATACCATTGAGCTTATTTTGAAACTTCACATCCTTTTTTAGAGTAAAAATGATGACGGAGTACTCGGTGAGGGAGGATGAGTTGTTGTGCGATGCGTGGTTGGACGTATTTGCCGACTTCGTTTGCAGGAGCAGAAGAGAGGCCTTTTGGCAGTGCCTGTTGGAAATATGCCCTAGAGGCAATAATAAATTAGTTATTATTATTATGTTTCCTTGTTCATGATAATCATTTATTATCCATGCTATAATTGTATTGATAGGAAACTCAGATACATGTGTGGGTACATAGACAACACCATGTCCCTAGTAAGCCTCTAATTGACTAGCTCGTTGATCAATAGATGGTTACAGTTTCCTGACCATGGACATTGGATGTAGATTATAATGGGATCACATCATTAGGAGAATGATGTGATGGACAAGACCCAATCCTAAGCCTAGCACAAAGATCGTGTAGTTCGTACGCTAAAGCTTTTCTAATGTCAAGTATCATTTCCTTAGACCATGAGATTGTGCAACTCCCGGATACCGTAGGAATGCTTTGGGTGTACCAAACGTCACAACGTAACTGGGTGGCTATAAAGGTGCACTACGGGTATCTCCGAAAGTGTCTGTTGGGTTGGCACGAATTGAGACTGGGATTTGTCACTCCGTGTGACGGAGAGGTATCTCTGGGCCCACTCGGTAGGACATCATCATAATGTGCACAATGTGACCAAGGGGTTGATCACGGGATGATGTGTTACGGAACGAGTAAATAGACATGCCGGTAACGAGATTGAACAAGGTATCTGGATACCGACGATCGAATCTCGGGCAAGTACAATACCACTAGACAAAGGGAATTGTATACGAGATCGATTGAGTCCTTGACATCGTGGTTCATCCAATGAGATCATCGTGGAACATGTGGGAGCCAACATGGGTATCCAGATCCCGCTGTTGGTTATTGACCGCAGAACGTCTCGGTCATGTCTGCATGGTTCCCGAACCCGTAGGGTCTACACACTTAAGATTCGATGACGCTAGGGTTATAGGGAATAGATATACGTGGTTACCGAATGTTGTTCGGAGTCCCGGACGTCACGAGGAGTTCCGGAATGGTCCGGAGGTAAAGATTTATATATGGAAAGTTGTTGTTCGGGTTCCGGGAAAAGTTCGATTTTTTCCGGTATTGTACCGGGAAGCTTCCGGAAGGTTCCGGAGGATTCCGGAGGGGTCCGGAGGTCCGAAAATTGTTCCACCATGTCCAATACAGCAGCATGGGCTGTAAGGGGGCGCCCTAGCCTTAATGGGCCAGGGGCACCATCCCCCCAAGGCCCATGCGCATGGGAGAGGGGAAACCCTAAAGGGGAGGGCCTCCACTTGACTTGGGAGGCACTCCTCCCCCCCTTGGCCGCCGCCCCCAACCCTAGATGGGATCTACGGGGGCCAGCCCCCTTCTCTCCCCACCTATAAATAGTGGAGGGGTGGGAGGGCAGCCGCACCCCCAAGTTCTGGCGCAGCCCTCCCCCTCTCCCAAGTACTCCTCCTCTCCCGCGGTGCTTGGCGAAGCCCTGCAGGATTGCCACGCTCCTCCTCCACCACCACACCGTCGTGCTGCTGCTGGACGGAGTCTTCCCCAACCTCTCCCTCTCTCCTTGCTGGATCAAGGCATGGGAGACGTCACCGGGCTGCACGTGTGTTGAACGCGGAGGTGCCGTCCGTTCGGCACTAGGATCTCCGGTGATTTGGATCACGACGAGTACGACTCCTTCAACCCCGTTCTCTTGAACGCTTCCGCTTAGCGATCTACAAGGGTATGTAGATGCACTCTCCTTCCCCTCGTTGCTAGTCTCTCGATAGATAGATCTTGGTGACTCGTAGGAAAATTTTGAATTTCTGCTACGTTCCCCAACAGTGGCATCATGAGCTAGGTCTATTGCGTAGATTCTATGCACGAGTAGAACACAAAGTAGTTGTGGGCGTTGATTTTGTTTAATATGCTTACCGTTACTAGTCCAATATTGTTTCGACGGTATTGTGGGATGAAGCGGCCCGGACTGACCTTACACGTACACTTACGTGAGACAGGTTCCAC